AATCTAGGGATGCCAGGATTTGAAGATGCAGAGCCACAAATTCCCTTTAACCAGTTTGTTGCAGCAGCAGAAGAGTTTGGTGATCAGATGCTGGATGGGATGAATAAGCTCGTTCTGATCAATGACAAGCATTATGAGCATCTAACCCACGTCAACCTCAATCTTGAGCTTGGGTTACAGCAGATTTCTGAGAAGGTTGCATCTCTGACCCAAACCTTGACGTCATTCATGAACTCATCAAATGCCAAAGTAGATGCAGTCTCAAGAGAAGTGGACGGTATCAATTCTATACTTTACTCCCACTCTCAGGCTCTCAACAAGCAGAATAAATCCATCAAGGAGATATCTGAATCCATTGATATACTACAATGGTATGCTGATCAATCTTCTGACCGATTCATGGAGATACAGTGTCTCTACAAGGATCATAAAGAGCAAACCTCAACTCTCCTTAAGAATGATAAGGAGAAGATGGTACTCCTTGAGGCAAGCACCAAAGATATCCAAACAGCCGTTGAGAAGCAACAGGGCCTGATAGAAGGACTTACCTCTGTTACTCAGACTTTACCAGAAGCCCTTGAACAGATTGCCACCACTCAAGCTTTAGAATTTCAAAAGCTTGCTATGATGATTGATGACCTGGATGATGCCAAAAAAGGGGAAGAGCATCCCCAGCAGAAAAAGAAGCAACCTCCCAGGATCTCAGCTGGTCCTTCTACTGATGTTGATCCAGTTCCCTATTTTCAAGCTTCCATTCAAAAGAAGAAAAAAGTTGGTATGGCCAGGCCCTCATCATCTCCTCACAAGAACACATCCAAGAAGAAGAAGGCCCTAAACTTCAGGGAATGGAGATTGGGGGGATCTCAGACAATTGACAGAAATCAATTTGAAGAAATGAAGGAGAAAATGACCCACACACAACAACAGAATCTCTATCTCGACAAAGATGGTCACGTGAAAGTCAGATATGGTGGCTCTCTCAAAGAAGTTGAGTACTGGTATCTCAATAAAATCCTTCCAGGGAAGGACATTCATGAAGGTGTCCTCAGCTACCTAGATTGCAAACTCTCACCAATACGGGCTTCTTGCCAAAGCTCTGGAAATCTCGTTGGGATTAGAGATGAAGTTAATGCAGAACTAAACAGACTGCAAAGATTGAAAGATCAAGCTATGGCTGAAGCTGCAAGGGAGAATGTGTAAAGGAACTTATCTGTAAACTATCCTCTAATAAAAACACATCTCTGCCTTTCATATTGTAAGGCAATTACTTCCTATCTATTTCTTGTTGTTTACTATTATGCTTGTTTGTATGCCCTGATTTACCTTGATTTATCTTGATTGTACTCGTACTCTTACTATTTTCCTATGCTAAGTTGCCCACCAAGAATTTTAATGAAAGTTTTAGTTTTTTTTGTGAAAGGCACTTCTCTGGAAATAGTTTAAGGGTTTTGGCATCATCAAAAAGGAGGAAATTGTAAGGAATAAATGTAATTAGATTTTGATGATGTTATACTAATTAGGACTTTAGAATACCCCCTTGTTAGAATTTATATATTAGACTTTTCTATGTAAAGTTTTCTTAGAATAGTCGACTGACAGAAGACCTCCAGACAGAAGTTGATTTGGCCCTCTGTTGAACCTCTATCATGACGGAAGACGTTCTGGTTCTCTGTTGGACCTCACCAGAACATGAGTACAAAAGGTCCTCTGTTGGCCTCTATCTTGACAGAAGAACTAAGGACTCTCTGGTAGCTTATTCCAACAGAAGTGCTCGAGACCTTCTCTGGTTGACTCTCTGGTAATTATACCAGAAGGCCTGACACTTAGAGAATTACTGATGATTATCCAAACCGGTGATTTCAACGAAAGATTCCTTCAATGGCTAGAAGACTTGAACGAAAAAACTACAGTATGCGCATTGAATGCACATTTAATGCACCACGTACGTTGAAGAGTAAATGCAGATGATTGGCCGAAATGTCAGGATAACTTTATCCCAAAATAGCAACTCGCCAACTTTACCGGGTCCTACTGGTCAAGTCAACTGTATGCGCATTAAATGCAGTTGTCCTCCTCCTCCAACGGGAAGACAACCCCGGTATAAAAGATACTAATCGAAGAACAACCGGATAACTTTTGCTCGAGCTTTGCTCATAAACTTTGCCAAGTACTAAGCTACAACTCTTCCATATTAAATCTGACAAGCCTTCTTGAGATTAAAACTCCATTCATCAACAAGAAAGGTGGACGTTGGAAAGATAGTATTTTCACATCTTCACATTCCAACAAGAGCAAAATTCCAACTGTTCTTCAACACTTCAAGTACTTCATCTACACATCCTTTGTGACGAAGCAAGTTGGAGAACCCCTGTTTTACAAAGTAATCTTCTTTAAATAGAAGGACGTTCAAGTAACTGGAGTAGTGAAGTGGGGATACTTCAAGGAAGCTCAGTGAAAGAACCAGTCTTAAAGGAAGCAAGGAAGTGCATCCCAGGAGACATCTAGGCTTGAAGAAGACGTGGAGAGCTTCTTAAGTACTAGGGCTAAGGCGTTGTAAACTGTCGTTTTTACAAGCTTAGTGGAACAAAGGATTAGAGGAACGAGTTGTTCCTTGAACCACTATAAAAATCTCTGGTGTCATTTACTTACTGCATTCATTTGTCGCATTTATTTTGAATTGTTTAACTCCAGAAACTTGGTCTCTCTGTTCAGCAGAACCCATCCTGTGAGTTAACAGAAGGCCTATTGCCTTTGCTTCTCTGAGGCTAACCGGACAGAACCCCTACCAGAAGACCATCCACTGCCAGTCTGTTCTGCCAACAGAACAGACTATTCTGTTAAATCTGGTACTTAGCTTGAAAAAGTTAAAAACCAGTACAGTCTATTCACCCCCCCCCCCCCTCTAGACTGTACCCAGTACAACCGGGACCAACATTAATTTATATGTGTGCGCTCGCGTGAATGTACATACATATTAAAAAGAATAGTGGCAGTTTTTGTTTTTATTTAAAATAAAGGTAATTATAATTTTAAAACTTTTTCCAAAACATGATTTAAAAAATAAAAGAAATAAAGTCAAGTTAAATAAATATACTTTAAATTCATATCATTAATGGTTATTTTACATCTCAACAGCTAATCGCAAACAACAAGTTACTAAACATTTAACTTCAAAATGGTAATAGAATAGTTAGGCGGCCGTTTCCCCTAGGTTTAAGGATTGTTTTTCTCCCCTTTCGTCTTCGACAAAGTGCGGCTTTCTTGTGCGACTTTCGCCTGCCTTTCATGAGACTCTCTTCTTCGGCAGACCGCAGTGCCTATATGGCGGCCAAAGGTTGTGTACCCCTGACAGCAGGTGGAGAGTTTTGAGGATGTCATTCATGGTTGAGATCTGAAGGTCATAGATGAAGCGTGGGGCTAGGGGCTGGAACAGATCTGGACCGGACGCAAAGAGCAGAAGAAGCTACAGTACTGTTGGATCGTCCCCCTCCTGAACCACCGCTATGGAGTGCAAGAGAGTTTAGGGTTTGGAAGGAGTATTTAAATTTTATTTTTTGCTTGCTATTGATTTTTCATGATCAATCTGTTTATTTTTCTGTTGGTTACTTTTATTGTTGTAAGACTCTTGCATTAGTATTGGATGATGGGAGGTCTGCTTTAACTGTTGTTGGCTCATTTATGCCCATTATAGGCTCAACGAGTTATATTGCTTGATGGAGTATATGGCCCAGGAATCCTCAGCCCATAGACTCCCATTACTATAGCGAAGGCCCAATAGGCCCAGGAAGCACAGCAGGCCCAAATCACAGCGCTCCAAGTGCCAAACAGCCCACGACGAACACTGGAATGCTTTCGGCCCCCTGGCCGAAGGCTCATAAGCTTACAATACAGCTTCTTTTTAAGCACTCAAAGTGTCTGGGAGAAAGCGGCGAAAACTGTTGTTCTCGGCACCTAGAGCCCTCGGAACCTAGAGGCCCCCGGGATGAAGAGCCTTCGGCTAATCATCTCGGGCCGAAGGCTTCTCCTCGACAGAATTCCCGCCCACATGCGCTGGATCAACGTACCGAGGACAAACGTCACATCCAACCACCGCATTTAATGCAGCCACATGCGAGTGCCAATGCCACCCCATTGAGGTGACCCCTCGACCACCAGAATGATGACACATGTCCCTATCTGGCATTTATTACTACTATAAATAGCACCTCTTTCCTCATTTGTAATTCAGGCTCAATACGCTCAATACATTCTGAGTTACTTTTACTCTGACTTCTCTCTACTCTCCCCGCAATAATCCTCGGATAAACTACCCCCGGGTACACTTATCCATCATTGCTTTTTTGGAGGAGATTGACACTAAATCTTATTCGAGGGTTGGCGGTTGCCTGTGATCATTTTGTCATTTTACCCCCTATCTGAATCATCCGTTTTTGACAAAAAAAACTTCAAAATGGTAATGATTATCAAAAACTCAATTGACATTTTTAATTCTCCACTTATCATGACAACATCACAATAAAAGGACTAAAATGTCAATTTCACAATACATAAGAGATTAAGGATGATTTTACTTGAACTAAAATTTTTTAGTCTTGTCTTGTCTGAATTGGCTTGGTATATGTCTAATCCTTGTGTATTTGATAACAATAGAGATTTGGTCTGGTCTGAAACTGAAATAAGTCCAATTTTCTAAAGTGAGGAATTCTAAAGTCGAAGACTAAAAGTGACTTACTCACAAAAAATTAACGAATTTATTGCCAGAGTTCTTTTTTTAATTTACCAATTTCTCACCAAAGCATCATTTTTTACCAATATTCCACCGGTGTTTTTTTACCAATTTGGTTAGTTGTCCAGTTGTCCTCTTTTTTTACCAATTTGGTTATTTGGCCTGCAAATTTATAAGAACTTTGGTTTTCCGATCAATTTGGTTCAGATTGGTTTTCCAGGTTTAACGGTTCCTACTAATATGTAGCTGGGGGGAGAACACTAAAACAGATGCTTGATTCAGTCGTCATTCAGATGCACCACACAGGATATAAAGCAGATGTAGGTCACAAGTATCTTGTTTGAAAAACACACACATAAAGGAACAAGAGTTTTAAGGTACAAGCATTCAGAGCTGGTGAAGTGTACAAAATCATGAACTTTAAACGACCATTTTTAATGCCAAAACATTAGAAAATAAAGGGATACCATCTTAGTTCTTCCCAGTGTTGCTTTCCAATTCCCTCTTTAGTTGCTGAGAGAAGTCATCGTTGACATCGTCATCATCCCAATCATCTTCCCACTGCTGGGTTACATCTTTTAACTCTTTATTATCATCTTCAGCTGTTATTTTTTAGATTTCCAAGGCAAAACAAGAGGAGGAACAACAGCAAACTAAATAAGAACAGTAAAATCTACGAAAATGGCTGGGGTCAATCAAAAGGTATAACAAAACTCATGATCTGTGGAGCAAATTTGTACACATTCACGGGATATAGGCCTAGGAATGTATTTCTGCAGGGGAAACTGCTTAGTCAAGCACCAGAACTTTTTAGTTTTCCACTGCTCTCTCTCTGGTTCAACATCTCCACGTTAGTTTAAAGTTAAAACTTAATGTTCTTCTTTGAAATTCAACTTATTTTAAACAAATTTATCCAATCTCAATGAAATTCTACATCACCAGAACTTAATTTAAGTTTATCCAATTCTATTCCTATCAACATTAAACAAACTTATCCAATCTTACCCACCAGTTAATAGAAGCCAACTCACCCGACTCAACGGACGGTTCAGGAAAATTTACAGACTCAAAATGGAAGTTATTCCAAATAGCTTGACACATTGGCATACAATTAAATTTAAATGCTAGAATGGACAGTATACAAAAATATCAGGGAAATCGATTCAACAAATATAATCCAAGAAAAAACTATTTAAAGGAAGGATGAATTACTTTCATCAATGTCAAACTCCTCAAACTCGTCATCATCTTCAAAAACACTCATCTTCGGTACAGAAGTGTTCTTTGGTTGCTCAGTATCCATTCTAACACCCTGCTCTGCTACAAAAACAATCAGCAGTTAAGAACTTGAAACCACATCAAAGGTATGTATGAATTTCGCAATGCAGATTCTACATAAACTCATATCCTGAGTTGAACTTCATAGAAAGGCCTAATAGGTTGTCATTTTTCGTAGTATAATTTGTTTTGAAGTTAAAGATTAAACATCACAAAAAATGACTAATTAAATAAAATTCCTATATTATAGTATAACAATACCAGATGTATTAAAAATTTAAAATAACTAATTTATTGGAATCATATATATACTAATATAATATTAGTTGTCAGCAAATTAGAGAACGTAACCTATTTAAAATTTAAATATCTAAAAAATGAAATCCGTCAAGGCAAAGAAGAGTTTTTCATTCTTCAAATCCAATTCAAATTCAGCCCAAAAGCTCTCTGGCTTTCAGGTCTGATAATATACACCAGATGATGAATGGCTTCACTAAGTTGAAAAGCTAAAAACGTGAATGGAGCACAATCATAAGAGTCTTACAACATATACTTGATTAATGAAACAAACAAAAAACAACATCTCATCACAACTTAATCACAATTAGGGATTTCGGTATTTTGGCAGTTTTAATTATATTTTCGAGTGTATACATGTGGAAATGAAAACGAATCAGCAAAGTAAAAAACTTCAAATATCAAAAAAGTTGAAGCTAGGCAAAAAAGGATAAATGATTTACCTCGTGTTGGTTTGAATGGTTTCTGTTGGTCAATTAGTCGGAACTCGGAATTGCAAATCACCATAAACCGCTTCTTCTTCTTCAATGTGTTGGCAGTTCCACTCCGTTAAAATAAAGGCAGACAATTTATAATAATTTAATGCATGCATATCTATAACAAGCATCTTAGGGTGCACATTACGAGTAATTCATTATGCCAAGGTGGTAAGCAGACTCAGCTGAAATATCTTCTATTTAATATATTATGGTCTCAGTAATTCATTACGAGTAAAAGTCATGATTTCTAGAAAATCAGCACTATGTAAACGTAAAATCAGCAAAATTTGATGCATGTCATAGATTAGTGGAATTTTATCCCGGATATATTATCCCGACCTACTACTGTTCAGAGGGCCAAGTCATCACCCCAGTATGGAGTCCAGTCGGCGAGGCCCATTTAGACCTACCCGGCCATTTCCACCCATTAAGGCCTTTCCGGCCCATTAGCGTAGAAAGCCATTTTTAGGGAGATGGATCCCATTTTTAGGGATCTTTTGGGCTCTTCTCTTCTGGGAGTTCTCCCCCAACTTCACTTCATTTATCTAGATTAGTTATTCAAGCTCCATTAATGGAAGCTCCAAGATATGTACTATGTAAATGGTGAAGAGAGTATTAATGAGAAAGAGAGCTTGGACATTAGCCTAAAAAGTTCGTGGTTTTCTTCCTTTCGGGTTTCCACGTAAAACAGAGCGTTCATACAATATTCGTATTCATATTACTGATTTATATTGGATTAAACTCAACAGTACAGCTGGGTTCAGTTTGGGACCCGAACCGATTTAGAAATGATATAAGTCTTTCTAGCGTGCAGTATACTCTTTGTATTAGCGTGTTGGTCGCGCACTCGATTCTCCTTTCAAGTGTCCCAAGTTCGACTCCCAACGGCGCCATTTTGTTTTTAGCCTTTTCAGTTTTTTCAGTTTTTCCTCCTCTACTATTTCGTCCCACACCGGAGACAATAAAAGGTTCGCTTCTCAAACACTTCTATATAACAAAGGACCTATCGCAGTTTAATATTGTGACTAGGAAGTCACATTATACGGATATTTCGTATTTCGGTTGGTGCTAATGGGGTCAATATTGTAGTATAAAAATTTGTTGGGCTTATTGGGTTATCTATTTCGGTATTTCGGTTCCCAATTAAACCGAACCAATTTTTCGGCTCCCAAAAAACCGGTTCCCGATTCCATTTTAATTCGGGTTCGGTTTTCATTTTTCCTAAAACCAAAAAATCGGTTCGGTTCTACAAACCGACAAATCGACAAAAAATGGTTTTCATCAGCTGATTCAACCTGCGGCAACCCTAGCACCGCAGCAGTGATGGAAGCTGAAGGAAAACCTCTTCATTATCTTGATAGAGTAACAATTATTCATCTTATTGAGAGTGTCGCGGTCTCTCTCTAGCAGGTCTAAGGTTTGGTTTTTCCTTAGCAGATCTAAGGTTTGGTTCTTCCGACCGGTGAATACCCTTCACTTGTGTCTGGCGTTGGGGTTGGATTTGAGGCGGATTGACAAGAATCCTTGCTCAAGCTTGACGACATTGAAGCCAGAGTTCGGTGATCGATTTCTTCTTGAGCAGGGTAGCAAGGGCATGGCAGCGATGAAGATGACCGCTAGCGGTGGATTTGCTACGAGCGCGGGACAAAGAGAGGTGCACGGATTTCAAGCAGACCAAATGACGATTGACAATGGAGGATCAATTAGAGTGGTACCAAGAATACGGCCTCCTCCTGAACCATCGCCATGGGTTGTACGAGGTGCTAGAGTCCGTGGAAGTTTTCATATTAGTTATTTTTATTCTGTTATTTAGCTTCTTGGTATCGTCTATGTTGTACGGTTTGTCAGTTTGTTTGGGAATTCAGCATTTTTTTGTGTCATTGAGTATGTTTGGATCTATGGGAATAGAGATGGTTGTGTCAAGTCCGCTACATGGTTAGCGATTCGCGTTGCTCTTTCAAGGGTGACCGTGATATGCACTAATTAGTAATCCATAAATGTATATTTTTATGTTTGATTTGTGTGTATTGTTTACCATTTTTATTAGTTTGTAAACATTTGTTTTATTTGGTTTGTAATTGTATTTTAGTTCTCATTTGTAAGTTGTAAAGAAGAGTTAGGATTTATGGTGTTGAATAGGAGGACTTTGAAGTGAAGAAAAAGGAGATTGGACTGTCCAGAAGTTGAAACCCGACCGGGTATAACACTTGACCCGGTCGGGTAATATTTAACAGACGAAGATACCTGGAAAATCACTAGACCCGGTCGGGTCCCCTATTCCACCCGGTCGGGTCAGACTTGACCTGGAACACCAGAACGTGCCGAAGATCACCAGAACGTGGAAGATTATCTGATTTTGACCGGACCTGGTCGGATAGGCACTGGACCCGGTCGGTACCCGACCCAAGGTGTTGAAAAACACCTATAAATAGCACACTTTTTCTTCACAAATAATCATTCCTTCTTTCATACTCTTAAGCTCAGTTTAGAATAACATTTCTTTTATATTCTTATAGCATGTTTAGTATCCAAATGAGAAGTTAAACTCTCATTTCTTGGTGTTGCTCTTGAAGCTTGTTGATTATTAAAGTTGTGAGTTATTTTCTTAACTTTTTCCCTTGAATATTAATTATTAGTTCTTTCCTTAATACTATCTCTGTATTAATGTTGGGGAGTGTTGCTAAGATGACAATTAGTTAACATCTTGACATTAGTTAGAGTAGTATTTTCTTCCTCTATATTAATGTTGGGGAGTATTGCTAAGATGACAATTAGTTAACATCTTGATATTAATTATAGTAGGCTTCATCTCCTTTAATAATATTCTTCCTTGAATATTAATTAATTCCTATTCATATTTCATATTAATATTTTGAACATTACTTAAAGGATTAACTAGTTTTGTTTCATATATTAATTATTACGAGAAACGATCAACGAACCGATGGTTAATCGTTGATGGTTTCACAAGTAAGTAACTTCGGTTTATTAATGCACGGTCGTAGTTGATAAACTTAAGAGAGATTAATTTTGTTGGTTAAACCGAAACCGTTGTGTTGAGATTATCAATCTCAATTGATTTCATCAAGGAGTTAAGAGATTAAATGCTACTATCAAGTCGGTATATGGCGATGTTCTATACTTGACTAATAGTAAGGGTTATTAATGAACGGTCGTTGTTAATATTTAATAACTACCCTCGATTAATTGGATATACTCCTCGATTGAGTATTCAAGAGAGACAAAGTTATAGATATAACGATGATCGACTAAAATATATCAACAAGTGGAAAGTAGCAATGTCAAGTTCTTTTATCTTTGAATTAAAACATATATAGGTTGTTCATCTTAGTTTTTAAATTAAATCATTCAATCCCAACCCCCAACCCCCCCCCCCCCCCTCCTTTATTTACTAGTTTCATAAAAAGAGAATTATTCTTTTCCCTGTGGATACGAACTCTACTTCACTTATACTACGTATTAGTGCTAGTATTGAATTTATTTTGACGCACCGTGACAAAGTGCACGTCAGACCATCTCTAAGTCTGATCATACGGTTTACGGTCGTAGTTGTTGGATTTTAGTTGATGTTAGTTTTGTTTTTCCTTTGATTGATGTAATGATCCTGAAACTTATGATATGAAAGTAGGTTAGTTGACGATCAAAAAATAAATAAATTGTCCCTTATAATTATTACTTTGTATCATGTAAAGTATTTTTCTTATTTTAGAACATTAAAATCGACTAGAATAATTGTAGAAAATGTATAATTATCAATACATTGTTTTCGATATCATTTCTAAAGTAATGTGTAGTTTAAAAATTGACACCACTCAAACAAATCTCTGGCTCCGCCCTTGCTTACTTCTTACATTTTCTTTTCTTTATTTATTCTTTTTGTCCTCTTTCTTTGTTTTACCTTTCAAATTATTTGTGCTATTGTAACTATATAATTGAAAAGTTCATTATTATATTACTTTGGAAAATAAACAAACCAACAAATTAAATAACTAAATAGATAAATCTATTTTACATCATTAAATACCTTTTTGGTACTATATATATGTAATTTTTATTTAAATATATGATATATAGCTAATTGTAAGTATGTGATAATAACATCTTTCAAATATAATATTATAAGAGATATATGCTATTCAAACAAAGGTATAAAAAAATCATAATAGTAAGAACAAGTTGGATAAATTCATACATGCTTTCATCGGTTCATGTGTGTAATGCTAACATTCCTACAACTACTTACAAACATCTATTTACCAAACATTTAAAGAGAACCGGTTAACCCAATGTGCTGATCAAAACAGCTAGAACAATAAGGCGATCAAAATCGTTAATTCAATCAGCCAATCGTTAACGGCTGATTATCAAACAGTGCCATTATCCTACACATTTTTTGACCCAAAAAACAACCATTTGATTAAATAAATCGTGTATCTCATGTAATTTAGTCAACAAAATAATACAGTTGATGGAATATATGGCCTAGGAACCCCCGGCCCACATACTCCCATTGCAACGATCAGGCCCAACGGGTCCAAATGGGTCGAGTCCAACAAACATATGCATAATGTGCCTTTGGCCCCACACGCCGAAAGCTTTAAACTCAGGAAACCTGGTCCAGAAACATCACCAGGGAACACGGCTTGAAATAACAGCCTTTAGCACATACAGCCTTCGGCACTAAGGACCCCCGTTGTGCAGGGCCTTCGGCCCCGGTAGGTACACCCGAAGGCACTATTCTCAACAAGATCTCCTCTCCCACATGCACTGAATCACCGCATCAAGTACAACATCACACCCAAACCACCGCATTGAATGTGGCCACGTGCTGTGGTCGGCGCCACCGTGGTTGAGTTGACCCTCCACCGATGGTTGCTTGACACGTGTACCCTCGCTGATTAGATCTAACATTTATGGATGCTAGAAATAGCAACCAATTTTCCCATTGTAAAGACAACAACTTTCTATATCGAATACCTACTCTCTCTCTTACTTATTGCTCTGACTTCTCTCTAAGTTATTCACGGTAATAACCCCTTGGATAGGTACCTTTAGGTACACTATCCATCATTTGGTGCTCTCGTTGAGAGAGTCCGAACAATCGAGTAAGAAACCCTACCCATCACCAAACACAAGAATACCTATCGAAATGGGAAGAACCACTCGTGCCCAGTCCAAGACCCTTGAAGACAACAACGTGGCCCTCGACGAGGTCGACGCCCTCGGAGCCTCCAACAGGGCTCCTGAGGGCGGAGTCATCGCCGGGTTGGAACAGGCTGCTGTTGACCTACGCCTCCAGCTTCAGAAGAATGCCCACGATGCCCGCCTAGGCATCGAAGCTCGGAAGAAGGACCGGAGCGAAAACCAAGTAAGCCCTCCGGTCCTCACTGTCGATGTGCAGTCGGCATTCTCTGCCTTCATACAGACGCTCACCCAGAACCCGGGGGCCTTCGGTACTCTTGTGCCACTTCAGCCACAGGTCGGGGAGAACATCGTTCCTCCCCCACCTCCACCCCCCTTCGTGAGACCTATCCTTCAGATCGGGAACAACGAAGGGGTCGTTGCTCAGGATACCGCCTCCCAGGAAGTTCAGTCCCGGGACCAGCGCGGTGCGAACAAAGATAGGCCCCAGACCTCCGCCCTCGAGAGGCTCGAAGGGCAAGATCACCAAGGGGTCCAAGGCCGCCTCGATGGTAAGGCATTCCAAAGACCTCTGGAGAGCGGATGATCCGTCTCGAGGGCAGACGAGAGGCGTCCCCCTCGGGACAAGGGCAAGGGACTGCTCCATGCTGATGACGCCAGACACCAAATAAACCAAGCTCACTCAGCCCGCGCACAATCACAGGGGGCAGAACCACTTCCGAAGGATCACCGGGATTACATCGTTGAGGCCCTTCAATGCCGGCTTGATGAAATGGAGGCTCGCCAAGCGCACACAACCGCTTCTGCCTCCCATGTGGATCCCAAATATGAGGTCATGCTGGCCAAAATGGAGGAAATGCAAAGGAAGATTGTTGAGGGCTCCGGGGAACCTGCTGTCCAGCTTCGCATGAAGACGCCTTTCACCCCAAGGGTTCTAGCAGCTCAGATCCCCGGTAAGTATCGGGGACAACCCATAAAGCCATATGAGGGGAAGACGGATCCCCAGGAACACTATAGCAGGTACCAAAATAGCATGATGATGATGGGGGCATCGGATGAATATTTGTGTCGTTGGTTCCTTTCCACCTTGGAACGACCGGCGTACAAATGGTTCAACCGACTGTTCGAAGGCAGCATTGACTCATGGCAAGAGCTTGACCAACGTTTCTTGACACAATTTGCGAGAAGGCACTGGTCAAGGAAACATTTCTCCCACTTACTAACGGTGAGGAAACAGGAGGAAACCCTCTGGGATTTCTTGGAACGCTGGAGGCTGGAGACGGATAAGGTTGAAGGCGCTGACGACGGGACCCTTATGGCTCTCCTACAAACGGTTCTCCGCACCGGGAACTTCTCAAGGAGCCTCATCATCGAACCCCCTCGCGACTACATAAGGGCACTGCAGCGGGGAGACAGGTACGCAGAGGCCGAGGAAGTGGAAAAGTGCCACCAAAACCCCGAGCACCAACGTCCTAGGGCAGATGACAAGAACCACCGAGGGTCGGGAGCTCCATTCCACCAATCCAAAGGTTCAACCCCCTCAGGTGATCACCCCTGGCAAGGCCAAGCCAAGTCCGGAGGGGGTTACAAGAACAACCTGAAGGCCTGGGCCCAACCTGTTCTTCTGGAGCACCCTCGGACCCCCCTGACGCACCCCATCAGCGTCATTTTGGACTACGCCGAGGAGAGGGGACTAGTGGAGCGAGATTCTAGGGCACCCCGGGAGGTCTACGCCATCAACCCTGAGGAACCCTACTGTTGTTTCCGCCGGCACCTAGGCCACCGAACTGATGACTACCACCAGCTGAAGGCAACCATCGAGAAGTTGATAGAACGGAGCCATCTATCTCAATTCATAAGGGGGTACCCTCGTCAAGGCCCCCCTGCGAAGGCAAGCAGCTGGGTTAATCCAAACACCATCGTCCTCGGCGACCCGAAAGGTAAGAAAAGGGAGATTGGCAACCTCGGCGAGGAAGAAGGGTACAACCAGTGCCAAAAGAAGAAGCGGCACATCAACATGATCACCGGCGGCAACACGGGAGGAGACTCCACCAGACAAAGAAAGAAGTGGGTGCAATCCCTTTACGTAGGGGAAGTCACTTATATGCCCCCCGTAAAGCGGTTGAGGGAGGAGCCCATTATGTTCACCAACGCCGATCTCCCAACAGGTTCCTTCCCCCACAGGGGCGCGTTAGTGATCCAGAGTGAGATCAATAACACCATGGTCCACAGAACTTACGTTGACACGGGCAGTTCCGTCAACGTAATGTACCTCAGCACGTTCAAGGAGCTGCATTTGGAGAGGGGATCCTTTCGGCCCATCCGGACCCCTCTGTCTGGCTTCACGGGAGACACCATAGACTCCAAGGGGGTAATATCCCTCCCGGTTCGGCGACGGGCTCCATAAAGCCAGGCTTGAAGTGGAGTTCGTCGTCGTCAACATAGAATGCGCTCACAACATCATCCTCGGTCGGCCAACCCTCGAGGACCTGGAGGCTATCATCTCCATGAAGCACATGTGCCTTAAATTCCCAGCCGAGGGTGGAATCGGGTACTCGAAGGGAAACCAGAAGCTCTCACGCGCCTACTACCTCCAAATAACAAAGAAGGTTAGCAAGGCTGAGTTCCGTGTAGACACCATCACCGGAACGTTAGAAGAAGAAGAGAAGAGGCTGAGGGCGGAACCAGCTGAGGAGGTGGAAGACTTTGCGCTCAACCCGGCCAAGCCGGAGAGAGTCGTAAAGATTGTAGCCAAGCTCCCCGAAAACTTGAAGACTGGCATCGCAGAAGCCCTCCACGCTTACTCTATTGTTTTTGCATGGGGGTCGAAAGACATGCCTGGAATCAGCCGAAGGGTGATCACTCATAGTCTGGCGGTGGACCCTTCCTCAAAACCCGTGCAGCAGAGAAGAAGCCCCTCTCAGCCGAAAGGAGGGACTTCGTGAAGTAGGAAGTCGTTATGCTCCTCTCCATCAAACACATCAGGGAGGTAAAATAATCTTCATGGCTAGCTAATGTGGTCCTAGCGCAAAAACCACTCACCTTCCGCATGTGCGTGGATTACAAAGACATCAGCACTGAGTCCTCAGGGTCAGGCCTCTCGACATCCGGAGGGAGGGGGATTCGGACATCCGACTGAAGGGGGGAAGGCCATAGGTTGCCAGATTAAACTCTTTCGGGTCCACCCCGTAATGCCGGGCGAGCCTCCGGTAGACGAGAGCTTTGGTGAAGTACTCGCCCCCATCATAGTAGGCTTTACCCTTTCAGGCTAACCATTCAGCGCCGGGGCCGGTGCTTTTGGTCCCGGTTAGTCAGTAGGCTTTACCCTTCCAGGCAGTCATCCACAGTCGCCTCCACTACCGAGGCTAACCATTGCTTTTGGTCCTCAACCTTCCAACCCTCAGCAACAAAGGCGGCGACAGCATCCTCCCGAGCCTTAACGGCAGCCTCTTCCTTGGACGCTTCGACTTCCTCGGCAGCTTTCTTAGCAGCCTCGGCAGCAACCTTTTCAGCCTCGGCCTTGCCCTCGGCCCTGGCCTCTACCCTGGTAGCCTCCAGCTTCTGCTCCATCTGCCGAAGGGTCTCTCCCAGCCACGCCATATCCCTCACAGCGGCGACGTTGTCTTTGACAAGCCTCTTCAAGGTCTCGTCCTGTTCCGCCTTCTGGAGGCACAATTCCTCCACCCTACGGATCTGCTCGTCGAGGCTGATGCAAGCCTATTTGAAAACAAACAAAAGGCAAGAGTTAGACTACCATGCAAACTACACTAGGGCAAACTAACCAAGGAAACAAAGACGAGGGGGGTCTTACAGTGAGAGAAGCCCGGAGGATCTTGGACTCGAAGGCGTCATCCTCAAGTCGGCTCAGGGCTACCTTATCCAGCGAAGGGGTGACACCCCTCAGGAACTCCTTCGAGTCCACCATGCCGTGCATGATGGCAGTCCCCTTTATGAGGGAGAACTGTATATTCTCCCGAGGCAAGGCCCCCCCACCCATATGTTCCACGGGGGGCTTGGAGGGGGTCGTCGCCGCCACGACCGGGGGCTCGAACGAGGGGTGCTCGTCCACAACCACGACGGGGGTAGACTTCTTCTCAGCAGTCAGCACCCCCCTTCCTCAGCTTCTTGCCGGCGAGCACAACGACTTTGCCCGCCACCTTTCTCTTTGCAGCCGCGGCTTGGTCACCTCCGGCCTCGGCGGCCGGCGCCATCAACAACAGTCATCAGCAGGAACAACCGATGAGGGCTCCTCATCCCTCTTAAAGAATTCATCGACGGGTTTATGGGTCCCCGTCTCCTTCTTTGGCTCCTTCACCTCCTTGGCTCCAACTTACATAGGCCTTCCAACATTAAAAGCTTATTTGACCTTTTTATGTAAGTTGGAAAGCCTATTTGACCCTTTTCCCAAAAAAATAAAAATAAAATAAAATGATGTATAAAATAAATATAAGATAAAAATAACATAAAAGCATAAATAGATAAAAGATAAAAAAGGAGCATAAAGATTGATAAGATAAACGATAAAAGAAAACGAGAATTATTTCATGTTTTCCATTGGAATAAGTCACTTTCTCTGCCTGTATAGAGAAGAGTTTGGGTGGCATCGCTTTCTCTGCCTGAGACATTTTCGTTGGTTATTTCTTTCCGATTCAAGGTAATAGGAATTGCTGCCCAGAATTTGGATATTAGATTAGAGTTGTATGATAGAGATCATAGAGATTAGAGGGAAGGGTTGAATTTAATATGCGGAGTAGTGTACTAAAAAGATTAATTGTATTTCATACAAGAGCCGCTAAAGTTTTTATAACAGAAAGAAACTCCATCCAACAAAAAAAAAATATGGTTTGTGCTCACACTATAAGACCTTTAGATTGAAACCCTAACCCAACAGAACCAAAATTTTATCTTCCAGGTGATATTGTGTGACATATATATAATACGTAGTATATTAACCCATCCACAGCTTCAAAACTTTGTCTTTGCCACCAGAGGCAACTTTCTCACCATCTGGACTCCAGTCAACAGCAAACACCTTCAAAAAGTAAAAACCAATTTATTAATTAAAGGGCAAAAACGGCTCTATGTTTCCCAATGCCTAATATCTGGGAAGGGAGTGAAGCTTTTACCTCATCTGCATGGCCAGGAAGGTCTTGCTTCAACTTGTGCGTCCGAATATCCCAAACCTAAACAAAAGAAAATAAAGCAGTTCACTTTGAATGTAGCCTTTTTATTTTATGTAGCCTCCTGCCCTAAATCAGGGAGTAACGAGTCTAAAAAGGGACAGGCTGGTGCACGAAGGCATCCCCACAAGGTGAGGGTCTGGGGAAGGGTCCCACTACAAGGGTGTATATGGGGCAAGCCTTCCCCTGTAATTTTTTATAAAAGAGGTTGCTCCCAATAATAGAATTATTATAGGTTCAGTATTGTACTTTACATTAAACTCTCTTTATTATATACTACCTCCGTTCTTAAATAAATGCAACACTTTGACTTTTACACTATTCACATGTTCTACTTTGACTACGTTTTATTTATTAATGTAATAATATTATTTTATGAAAAAAATATTGTTAAACTTGTCTCATTGTAAATTTTCATAATCTAATTTTTTTAATTTTTTTCCTAAAACAAAATCATTTATATTAATGGTCAAAGTTGTGTCTCGGCAAGTGTGAAATGTTGACCGTTGCATTTATTTAAGAACGGAGGAAGTATATATATATATATATATATATATATATATATGTCAGGGCTCCTTAGAGAGTATCATGTTCCATTATTTCACATGGTATCAAGAACACAAAATAAACCCTAATTTTTTTTTTCTCTTCGTCAACCCTAATCCGCACGCATGAGTTCGTCGGCTAACACTGCCGCCGCCTCCTCCTCTACGGTGGTTCCGTCCACCGTGAACGGCGTCATTCCCTCTTTAACTACACCCGTCTCGGTCGGTCAGGCTTTCCCAGTAGGCATGCCGCAGTCATCCTCCATGGAATCCGGCGTCACCTTCTCCTCCAGCTACATCTCGTCGTCTCGCAGCCTACCCTATTCCCTTTTTCAGAATATGCCACCAACGTTCCCATGGCAGCTTCCCTCTTCGGTACAGCCAGTACCATTGGAGCCACCTCCTTTCTCGGGCAGCTCTTTTTCCGGCCCTACGGTCGTTGGCTCGCCAGGGGTATCGTCTACTGTCCCACCTCTTCAGTCAGCAGCAACACCCATGGTTGGATCTCCTTTGTTCAAATTAGCCCAGACAATTTCTCATGTGGCTACAAATGTAACCAATATTGTTACTACAAAACTACTGGCTATGGAAGATTACACTACGTGGCGAACTCAGTTTGAATCTTTTCTGGTCTTGCAAGGACTTCTAGGCATGGTTGATGGATCTCTTCAGATACCTCCAGCTTATTCCATTGATATTCTCAACCGTCAATCTCCCAATCCCGAATTTTCTGTCTGGTTGCGAATTGATCAAACCATCCGGTCTTGGTTATTTGCAACCCTTTCTCGGGATATTCTCATTGATGTCAGGGATCTTAAACATTCTTTTGAAATTTGGGAACGGTTAGAATCTAGATTCATGTCTGCCTGTTTGGCTCGGTCGATGGAATTACAACGTTTGTTCTCACAAATTAAAAAGAAACCTGAACAATCCATGGACAATTATTTGCGAGAAATCAAAACCTTGGCGGATGATGTGGCCACCATTAATTGCCCCGTATCTTCCCGTGATTTGTTGAAAATCACTATTATGGGACTTGGCCCGGAGTATGAATCATTGTTCACCACGGTGTCTCTTCCCTCAAAATTTTCCGTTTGAGACCCTTCGAAATCACCTCCTAGAACTCGAGCAGCGCGTCAACTACCTTCGGTCTCAGGAGAATACATCTGTCCACCAGGCCTTCGGTGCACATGGGACGTAGCCTGGTCACCCAGCCGCAGGTGCATCCGCAGCTTCAGCAACCTGCTGCCCAGCAGCCACAGCGTCCTCCGGGTTATCCTCAGCATGGCCGTGGTGGATGTGGACGTGGTGGCAGAGTACGTGGCGGCCGTGGACGGGGACGCGGTTAGCAACCGGTGCAGTACGGCCAGCCGATACTATGGTACCCCCAGTACGGTCCGTCGCCTATACTTCCAGCTGCGGCCGGTGGTCCTTCGGCAAAGGGTGCTCCTACTATGGGTACTGTTTTTTGTAATTCTACTGGGTCACATTTAATTTTTAATACCTTACCTGTTTGTGCTACTAACTTTGGTTCGGCAGGCTTATCATCAGATGGGGGTATTCTTGGGCAGTTCCCCATCCTGTTATGTGTCAAATTGTTTTTCTGCAGGTCACTCCGCTATTGCTTGCCCCTCACGTTTCTCACAGCCCTCTAATGCAGCTTTGTTGACTAACTTCGGTGAATCTAATTCGGCTTTGTGGTATCCCGATTCGGGAGCTTCCGCTCATATGACTGCATGAGATGGTAATTTAATTAATAAATCTATTTACACTGGCTATAATTCTGTTAGTGTTGCTAATGGTGCTCATTTACCCATTTGTCATGTTGGTGAGGTTGTTTTACCTTCACCTGGTCGTTCTCTCACTTCAAAATCTGTCAATCATGTGCCTCAGTTAAAGTATAATTTAATTTATATTCAAAGATTGTGTGCTGATAACAATTGTATTGTCATTTTTGATAAAAATTCTTTTTTGATTAAGGACAAAGCCTCGGGGGCAGTGCTTCTGCGTGCCAGCAGTAATGGACCTCTTTATCCTATCCGTCTGCCGTCATCTCCATCTTTAGCTTTTGCTTCTGTTTTAGCTTCTGGCCCTGTGTGGCATCGTAGACTAGGTCATTGTGGTGACAATGTTTTAAAGTTTCTTAAACGACAACAAATTTTATGTAACCCTCTCCCTTTACCCATGATTGTGTTGTTTGTAGACTAGGAAAATCCCAACGTTTACCCTTTACGGATGCTAGTCATAAGTGTTCTCTTTCGTTACAACTTATTCATTCTGATGTGTGGCAATCCGCAGTTTATTCTAATTTGGGTTTCAAATATTATGTTTGTTTTATTGATGACTATTCTCGATTTACCTGGATTTATCCCATGCACCACAAAAGTGAAGTTTTTATGCACTTTAAATTTTTAAAGTTTTGGTTGAAAATTTTTTTAATCAGAAAATTAAAAATTTTCAAAGTGATGGTGGCGGAGAATTTGTTAATCATAATATGCAGCAAGTTTTCTTAACTCATGGAATTTATTTTCAAAAAACATGTCCTGACACACCCCAACAAAATGTGGTTGTTGAATGCAAACATCGACATCTCCTAGAATTAACTCGTATTATGCTTCTCGAAGCCTCAGTACCGAGTCAATTCTGGGTAGATACCCTCTTTACTGCTGCATATATCATTAACTGATTACCCTCTCCTATTTTACATGGCCTTTCACCATACCAAAAATTGTTTCACAAAGCTCCAGACTAGTCCTTTATGCGTGTTTTTGGTTCCGCATGTTACCCCAATTTTTCAGCCACCTCAGCTAATAAACTTTCTCCCCGATCTGTTCAATGTGTGTTTTTTGGCTACGCATCCGGCTACAAGGGCTACCGTTATCTTGATCCTCTTATTGGACGTGTTTATGTCGGTCGTCACGTTAGGTTTCATGAGGACATCTATCCCTTTAAAACACTTCCCCCGTCTTCCTCTACTGACCATCCTCCATTAGATTTACCATTCCCCGCAACCAGCATGGTCTTACCTCCATCTCACATCACGCCACCATCACTCAATCCTAGGCTGCCCGCGACCAGTCCCTATTCTCGTTCTTTATTGCCCAGTCGTACCCCTCCGTCGCCAGTTCATCAGCCCGGCCTCTCCTCTTCCTTCTTCGTTCGTCCCCTGCGTCACCGACAGTTCTTAGCCCGACTTCCCAGTTATCCTCCACCTCCGCGTCAGCCCCTATGACTCCCCTCCATGAATCTCGTGATCATACCATACCTAGTACGCCTGCGGCCAGTCCCTCACCAAGCCCTGCGGCACCATCTTCGTTGGTTAACATACATCCCATGCAAACTCGCGCCAAGGCGGGAAATTTTAAACCCAAACCCATTTTTAATTTGAGTACAGTTGTTAATTCAGTAGACCCTACTTGCTTTACTGAGGCTAATAAACAGTCCAAATGGCAAGAGGCAATGGCCGATGAATTTAATGCTCTCATTAATAATAATACATGGGATTTGGTACCCTTTGATAATACTAAGAACATTGTTGGGTGTAAGTGGATTTATAAAACAAAGTATCATTTTGATGGGTCCATAGCATAACGCTTGGTTAGTTGCACAGGGGTTTAATCAACAGAGTGGCATTGATTTTTCTGAAACCTTTAGTCCTGTCATTAAGCCCACAACAGTTCGTATTGTTCTTACTCTTGTTGTCTCCTTTAGTTGGACGATACGTCAACTTGATGTTAAAAATGCCTTTTTACATGGTCATCTTACTGAGTAAGTTTACATGCGTCAACCCCGTGGTTTTATACATCCTCAATTTCCTAATCATATTTGTCGTCTGCGTAAGGCCATTTATGGGTTTAAGCAAGCACCACGGGCATGGTTCCATAGGTTCAGTAGCTTTCTTCTACAGCATAATTTTTATTGTAGCAAATCTGATAATTCTCTATTCATTTATCACCATAATAATTCTATCATTTATTTATTATTATATGTAGATGATATTATTATTACTGGTAATTCTGAGTCGGTTATTACCCAGTTTATTTCTATTATTTCTAAGCATTTTGCCATGAAGGATCTGGGTAATTTACATTATTTCTTAGGGATTGAGGCCCATCGGTCAAACACAGGTCTGTTCCTCACTCAAACCAAGTATATTTCTGATCTTCTTAATCGGTTTCATCTCCATACGGTTAAACCTGTTCGCACTCCGTTAGCGTCTCTTACTACTCTATCCTTATCTGATGGTGAGTTGCTCTCAGACTCCACTGAGTACCACAACATGGTAAGTGCGTTACAATATTTAACTTTGACACGGCCTGATATTACGTATGCAGTACACTTAGTGTCTCAGTTCATGCATGTTCCCCGTACTACTCATCTTTTTGCAGTAAAAAAAATTTTCATGTACTTACAGGGCACACGTGACCATGGGTTATGGCTTCAGCACTCGACCAAACCAATGTATGTTATAGCATACTCAGATGCTGATTGGGCCGGTTGTCCTGATACTTCTCGGTCCACAACAGGTTTTGCGATATTTTTGGGCCCTAATCTTATCTCTTGGAAGTCCAAGAAGCAACCCACTGTGTCCAAGTCTTCTACAGAAGCTGAGTATCGGGCTATTGCATACAGTGTTCAGGATACATTACACATTAGATCTATTTTATTTGAGCTCGGTTTTCCTATAACCGAACCTGTGCAATTGTTATGTGACAATGTTTCAGCTTCGTATATGACTGCTAATCCTATTCAGCATGCTAGGAGTAAACACATTCAGATCGATTACCACTTTGTTCGTGAACGTGTTGCTCATGGAGATCTGATTGTCAAACATGTTCCTACTCATTTACAGTTGGCAGATATTTTCACTAAAAGTCTACCTAGTCAGCGTTTTCATTTTTTGAAAGACAACCTGCGCGTTGTTTCTCCCACACAGCTTGAGGGGATGTAATAAATTATTATAGGTTCAGTATTGTACTTTACATTAAACTCTCTTTATTATATATATATATATTGCCAAGGCTCCTTAGAGAGTATCGTGTTCCATTATTTCACACCCAAGACTTGAAGCCGTGATCGTGACTTGGTTTGTGATGATAGAATACCAGATACGCAACTTCAGCTTGTCTCACTGTCCGCATCTCAAGAGCTTGATTACTTGTTTTGCTGGTGTTCTAAAAGGTGCTCTGTAGGAACCAAATATAGGCCTAGCCGCCTAGCACGCCGGCAGGACCTAGAAAATACTTCCTCTGTTCTTTTTTAATTGCAACGCTCTAATTTTCACGTTTTCCAACACATCACTTTGACCATTAAATCATTAATACGTTTCATTCTTTATTAGTAAAAAAATTAAAAAATGCAGATATTGAAAATTTAAAATGAGAGGAATTTAACAATATTTTAAAAAAATTAATTTATAACACATTAATAAATAAAATATAGTCAAAGTAGTATATGTGAATAGTGCAAAAAGTCCAATGTTGCAATTAAAAAAGAACGGAGGTAGTATAACTTTTTAAATAATAGAAATCCTACATCGAGTTAAAATGTGCTCTTTACATTTTAAAATATGTGATGAAGATAATTAAATATAGTTGCACAAAAAGAATCAGTAGTTGAAAATAGACTGCACCTAAGCTGGGTTTCAGATTATTCGCTCATTTAATACCAGACTCGGTAATTATGACCAAGTCCAATTAACATTCCACTTTTGCTGAACAAGAACTCCATAGGGAATCTATATTTTCTTACCTTCAAAGTTGAGTCTTTGCTCCCACTCAAAAGCAGCCTACTGTCAGCTGACCAGCTGTAAAATAAAATGATCATTATAGTGGCTAGATCTGCATCACCTATGTGAGTCAAACAGTACTACAGAAATTCTCGTGAAGTCACCTAATTTGATAGACAGGCCCAACATGACCACGGAAAGCAGCAATGAACTTTCCACTGCTACCATTCCATAGCTTGACTGACTTATCAAATGAGGCACTAGCTATCCATTGTCCATCAGGAGAGAAATAAACATGATTGACAAGCTGTAGCATGATACTTAATAAATAGCGTTGGATAGATGTAGAATGAAGAATGAATAGAACTTTATTCACATTTTCAACTATCATTTTTTTTGCATAGAGTTTCAGTAATAATTGCTGTTGCAGGATCTAAACTGAGGTTCGATATTATTTAAAGAGGGCAGTAATAAAAGCAAAGAGACTAAGTTACTCAGCAAAATATACCATACCTGCTGATGACCTGTCATGCGTGTTTTGGGGTGTTTGCTGACAGCTGGTTCCCACAGGATCATTGTGAAATCATCTGATCCAGAAACCAATCTCTCAGGAGCAGTACCCCTCATTTTATTGTACCTTTCTAACGCTACCTGAACAGTGAACAATAAGTATGAAAAAAGCCAGTAAAAAAGAACCATATGTGACATACTGACATCAAAAGTTACCTTCTTCATTTCCTCCGGAGAAGAAAAGTGTTTATTATTGTGATCAAAAGCACCAGTTCGAAGTACATACTCAGTGCTTAATGCCAATGAGTTAACCCAATGTCCATGGCCCTATATTTGCAGTGAGAGGTAGAATTAAAAAAGAGATCAACAGTTCATCACAAGGCAGATCTGAGATTCAATTCTTAATGACTGTAATGTGAAGGAATTTTGAAAAGCAAAGGTAACAAATTTCTACGACAACCCAGTTTCCAGTATCTTTAACTAATGAATTATGACATTGTTTTGTTTCTCTTCTCCCATTTTGTGCAAGAATACAAAGGCACTAGGCATACACCCTACAGTAATCTACATCCTATATACAAAATTGTCATTTTGGAAACATTACAGAATCAGTTAGCTTTCATAGTGGCATACATCTGGGCACAGTTTGATGAAATACAGGGAATGGACAATCTCAAAGATAGAAGCTGTGCAGATTCAATAAAATTAAATGTCCAGAACCAAACCAAGAAGATACAATCCACATGCAAATAGTCCAATTGTTCCAGGACAGGGATTCATTACTAACAGATCCATTAGCTACAGAAAAGAATCGGACATTTAATTGGAGAATTTTCTTATATGTAAATAAAAATGTGTTTAAATGGTTAAGAAACATAGTCTAACTAAAATCATGACTGCAACAACACTAATAAACTATACTGTGCTCCATGTATGGATAATTGACAATCGTGTTTGGTACAATGGTGTCAAAAAGTAAACCAAGTAGATACCTCATTAAGCATTCTAATGTAATTTGTAAATAGAATTAAGTTGCTTTTGACAACTTGTGTATATTTGACCATAGGCAACCCAGAATTATAAATCTACTACTACTTATTACCAGTGATGTTAGTAGCGGCGCTATCGCGCGCTATAGCGGAGGTGCGGAGCGGATGACCAGGCTGGCGCTACCAGATGACATGTAGCGTCGCGTTTGGGTGTTGCGGACATAGTGGGTGCTTTAGCGTTGGTGCGGAGAAGGTAATGGCGGCCGCTATAGCGGCGAGTTTTTAGGGTTAATCAGATGGCGCATTTCTGAAAGGGTTTTTTGCGTTAAATTTTTTAGCGCAGAGGTAGAAGGGGTAAACTAGACTGCTAAAACAAAATATTAACCGACTTAAACCCTTTACACTTGCGTAAAACCTCAAAACGGCTTTGCGACGAGTTCTCCAAGAAAGCTCTGTTTCTGCTCTGCGATTGGTTCTTCTCCAACAACGGCACATGCTGCCCTCCTCTTCCTTCATTCTTCTCAGTAGTATCTTTTGTTGCAACATCTTCTTCTCCAACCTTTGCTGCAGACCTGCAGTGAGTCTTCTTTTCTTCTTCTAGTATGGAGTCTAGTCAGTCTACTGCCATGTTTAAGCCCACATGAGAACACCTTGACCCAGCTTGGAAGTGGAATAGTTTGACTGTTAAACACTTAAACTAGAACCTTCTTTTTGATTCAATGTCTTGACTTAAGATGTTTTATAGCATCTTTTGTTTTGCTCATGAAACTAAAGAGTATTTCTAAGTAATTTAGGATTTATGAATGTTAAGATGTTTGCAACCTTCATTGACATACACTCCCTCCGTCCCGAAAAGGTTGGCCAAAGTTGACTTTCACGTGGATTAATAAAGTAAAAACTGTGTGGTTGAAATTTGTGCAGAGAGAGAATTAAATTTAGCCACATATTCCTTACTTTAAATGGAAATGGCAAATCTTTTTGGGACATCCAAAAAAGGAAATTTGGCCAACCTTTTCGGGATGGAGGGAGTATCATACTTTTTGAATTCAATATGTGTATGTAATGTATTGTATATGCTTCTAGTAGTTACTTATTTATTATATTTGAAAGTAGCCTAAAGAGCGGTCATCCCGCTATCCGCTATACCGCTATAGCGTTTTTTGGGCTGGCCGCTGCGCTCCGCTATCTGGGATTGACAACACTGCTTATTACTACTAACCACCACCACAGCCCCAGCTGCAGCTACTACTACTACTTCTGTTGCCGCCGCCATTATAATAGTAGTAGTAGACTAGTAGTAGTAGTAGTAGTAGTAGTAGTTAATAATAATTATTAATATAAGAGAAACAACTTTCAGAAGCGAAAAAGTGCTCTGATGATTCAAAAGCAGATTTTGTCTTTCCTAAAGCCGGATTCATGTTAACACTAAGTTTCTTTACACAAAGCTGTTAGAGCAATGAATCAAACTGATGCTTTAGTTTGTATGTGCTGGTGTGTCAGTCCTAGTTCAGTACAATACGGTAGGGTTTGGTACAGTTGTCATTTGAGTAATATATAGAGTATTATATTCTGTCTGAATTAATTTTTTGATGCCTTCTGGTTTGGATAAAGCAAGCTGTCAAGGAATATTTTTTGGTCTGGATATTTTTGGTCAGTTAGTTTGGATATATTCTCCAAGTCCCATGCTAATGTGATGCTATGAAAAGCAACATCAGGTACATGTACACGCTAACCGCCAAAAAAAATACCTTCAATTCACGGATGAGCTTTCCTTGTGAAGTTTCCCATACTTTGATTGTACAGTCTTGGGATCTACAAATGAAAATGATATAGTATTTGTAACAACAAAAATAACAATGATATATTTATCAAACAAAAACTTAAATAGTACTGGCGATGGCGTATATTAGTGTTTCTGTTTCCTCATGTCATCATTATACAAAAACTAGAAAATCCTTGTAATGGACACCCCATATTAAGCTGGGTTTATGTTTATTAAAGCCTGGTGCAAGTTTTTCCTTTAAGAAAGAGGATGGCTGTATATTGGTGCAAGCACATAGTCATATACCATTCGACAATGACAACACAAAAAAAAATAGGGAACCTAATAGAAGACAAATGAAGTAGAGTATGTACCCTGTGTATATCACTCCATCACCGCCCCATTTCACGCAAGTGATAGCAAGTGTGTGACCACTAAGACAAATAACGCACTTCCTTAATGTAGCATCCCATATCCGTGCATCACCATCTTTACTGGCACTTACAAAACGACGACATGGAGCACTTAGGTGTACGGGTTCCCAGGAGATACCAGTTATCCATTTCTTGTGACCCTGAAATGTTACAAGTATAAATCTCTAAAGATGAAGATGGATTGACTTCTTTAATTTGGACCAATGAAACAAAATGAAGAAAAGCAAAATAAAAATTTGGAGATGCGCATACTTATAAACAAACAGACAGATGCTGATCCAATATGAAAGTCAGCACTCTCATAAGTCATAAGTCATAACTTAGGGGATGTTAAACGAACTGTAAAGAAGTTATAAACAAAATAGTTCACCATAAAGATGACTGAGATCTCTACAAATCTGTTAGCAATTATGTAATGAAAGATACATTGGCTCAGAAAGTTCAGATTTGTAACCATTGGGCCATGACTCTAAGAGTTCCTAAAAGAGCATATCATATTAGGTATGCTGATGTGCTGGTCAAAATGGTGCTCAGGAAGTGGCAATTTCTAGAGGTGTTAATAAGTAAAGCCATAAGAATATCGTAGATTCTGTAACATAAGGGGCGCAAGGAGAAGAAATCTTAGCCTGAGCATGTCTAGATGGATCAGGCGCGTGCTTTATAGAGCTCTTAGTATAAATTTTTCGCATTTTTTCATTTAACAAACTGATAAACTTAAAACTTTTATATTTTAGAAATTTTGAATGAAATGTTAGGAATTTTTGCTTTATGTGATGTTTGAGCTTACTATTTTGAAATATTTATGACCTTACTATTGTTTATTTTAATATGAAGGTTGTTGACTTTTCATTAATATTTTATTTTATTTTTTATTGTAATGTGTATTGTACGTTGTTGTTTCTAGTATATTATTTGTATTATGTATATGTGTGTGCATTAAAAACTAAGGCCTACGTCTCATTGCGCAATGAGGCTTACGGAATATGCAGTCTTGAGACACCACCTCCACTACGCGTCTACACAATATGCCATTTCGAACATTGAGTCACAATGATATGCCAAAAATAACATAGTCATGTTCAAAAGACCGAGTCAGTAGTGATGACGACAGTTAAATCGAGCATTCAAATTGAGACTTACAGCAAGAGGATTGCCCAATTGCTTCCCAGTCTGTGTATCCCAGCATATAATTTCTCCAGCTTTACTTCCACTCACAAGGTGCTTACCATCAGGCGACCATGCAATGCTAAGAACCCAGTTTTTATGACCTAGTTGCAGAGAAATTATATTACCACTTCAGTTACTTTATACTACGTACAATATACCTCCAATTATGTCCATCATTCTCAATGGAGCCAATGATTCACTATTTTTTGGCTTGGGAATATGATGGAATAAAGCAAAATGGCTCACTAAACTTTATGCGCTTCTTTGATATGAAGTAGCAGTCAGTCCATGCAATTTTCGGCACGATTTTCACTATAGGTCATCCAGAAACAGACTCAGACTCTCTGTGTTAGTACAGGGATAAGACCGCGTACATCCGACCCCCTCTTACCCCACCGTAGGTGGGGAGCCTTTGCAGCACTAGGGTAATGACGATGATGATGACAATATACCTCCAATTGCAGAGATCTATTGTGGTCAACCATCATATTTAGATGATGAAACCCAAGCAACCCCTACTACACCTTCGGGTTGAGATATGCTTGTATAAAGGGTGTGCCAAGATTTTTAATCTAACCTTTGCATGTGAATAATGGTGTCTGCGTGTTCAAATCCCACAAACGAACTGTGGTATCACCTGAGCCACTTGCTAGATGTTGTCCATCAGGGCTGAAGGCCACTGAAAGTACAGCTTCATTATGACCTGAAATTTACCATGGCAATGCAACACATTAGTTCATTTGAATACAAAGATGAAGAAAACATCTATTGCCGATAAATTATGCAAATATGAGTAAAAATTTGGCATACGTAGAGGAACAAATAACTAATAACTATGACCACCAAGTCAAAGTCAATAAGAGATAAAATTGGGTCAAATGCAAGTAATGATTCCACTATTAATACTGATCAAAGTAAAGATAATTCAATACCTGCAATTGTTGAAGAACATCGGGTTACAGGACGAATCCGGAAAACAGCTTGAGGTTGATATACTATAGTCAATACTTTCTCTACAGAAACTGCAAACATGTTCATAAATAGAAAGGTTCAGTTTAGACTGAAATGCTACTAGTTAGTACTCTCTCCGTCCCACTGTCTTTGTCTCATATTTCCTTTTTTGTCCATGCCATTAAGGTTGTCTCATTCCATATTCGGTAATATTTGTGTGGTTCTAATTTATTTTTACTTTATCACACTTTACCAATTCAATACCGAGGGACGGAGGTAGTACATATTACTCCAAACAAGGACTGAGTTGCAATAGTACAGTCAAGGATCCAATTACCTTTGTTCTTTTCTAAATATGAGCCAAGATGCACCACCAGTTCTTGGTCTGAGATATAAAATGCATACGGCAGTTTCTCATCCTAAATATAAGAAAGCACAGTGAGTGAAACAAACTCATTAATGAAATAGCAAACTCATCATTCACAACTTCAATAAACAGTTCATAGAAGCTTCAAAAGACACAAGAGGCACAAAACGGTCAAATGGTTAAGGCCATTGGTTTTATAGGTTTGTCAAGCAAAAATGTATTTCTCTAGCATATAATTGACAATGGCATAAAAAATTAAGAAAACTTATTATTATTATTTAGTTCCGGTTCTAAAAAACTCTTTCTGTATTATTACATTGTTTATTGATTTATTATGTCATGTTTATAGAAAATTTGGATTTTTATATTCATAAAAGGAGAATTCAGATATTTTAATACATATACCTGTATATAGAAATATATGGTTGTATATATATAACTCGAAATATATATGTATACATATATATATATACTCATTCATGTTAGCCAACAGAAAAAAAAATTGTAAATAAGCCTAGGATGTTGTTGTATATACATATGCATATATAAATATAAAATAATAAAGTAACTGTACCTGCATGTAAAGTCTATTCAGGTGGCTCAAATCAGTGATCCACACAAAAACATCCAACAAGTAAATAATGTGGAATATTCTCTTAACTGAGCCTATCATTGATTGGGTGCAAGTAAATTCAAAGACCAAAAGATAGCAAATTTGAGAGTTTTCGTAAAAACCCAGCCTGGGGAAACTTGATACCAAATTAGTCAATCTTATTATGACCTACGTTGTTAAGTAGCTTGTTGACCATTTGACTGAGCTCTTTGGGACCAGCAGAATCAGGAAGGTACATCTGAGCTCCAAGCGTTGTGCCATCCGGGTCAGTTAATCGACACATGACACTGCTCGTGGAATCTCTGGCCGGCGGAAAGGAGGTTTCGGCGTCCATTGTTTCCAACATTTCACTAGCTAACTCAGCCTCCAGCACCGCCCTGGATGTCAGCCTATGGTTTAAGAAGCACCCCTAGAGATTTGCCCTATTTAATTTTTTTGAAAGATTTTTGTTTGTAGGGCGTTTTAGGTCAACTAGATTCTCATAAAATTATCCGGAATAAATAGTTTTTTGTGCGGCATATGTAATAAATGACAAACTATTTACATAAAACTAAGATTTTGAAAGTTTGAAAGTTTTTTGTGCTAATTAAGGACACAAACTATTACATTAGTTTGTAAGGGCGATTTATCCGGAAAAACCGGAACCGGATCGAACCGGAATGATATTTGATCCAGTTCGGTACGGTACGGTACGGTTTTGAACTGATGCACACCCCTAATAATAATAATAATAATAATAATAATAATAATGACCGTATCAGATCTGTATTGAAAATAATTTGAATTTCCATGTAAATTGTTTGTATCATATCTGTGAAAAAAATCTTTTTAATGGGAAATATCTTGATTTTTTATTTAATTACAAATTTTATTATGTTATATGTTAAAGTAATAATAAGTTTTAATAGTCTAAAATAGTTTATTTTGTTATATAATGTATACTCCCTCCATCCCTAAATAAAAGCATCTGTTTCCTTTTCGGGGCGTCCCTAAATAAAAGTCCTCTTTCCTCTTTCCTTTTCTTAAGATGTGTGTAAAATGAATGGATACTTTTATATAGGGACGGGGGTAGTATTATATATACTACGTATTATTTATATAATATATAAAAAGTGATTTTGTTACTCTAATTTGCACCAATTTATGTGTGTACTTGTTTACTACTGAAATATAACATTCTCTCAACTTTCCATTATTAATCTAGTGTCAATATTTTAAACTTTATTCAAAATTCCAAAACAGATATCTTCAAATTATATGTGTTAACCCGTAAATATTAAACTCTGTTAAATTGAATGTATATTAATATTTGAAAGGAAGCAGTTGCACTTCAAAATTAGTTTGAGCAAATATTTATATACTTATATGTATAGGGAAGAGTTCAAATGAAAAGTGGTCTTCCCGTGCAAAGTGAAAAGTTTTCACTTTTTCATATTTCGCTTGCATTTTTTGTTGTTTGCGTTGCACTTTTTGGCCATTTTGATTTTGGCCAAATTCGGCCAAAATGACGGTGGCAGTTTTGTAAATAAACCAATTTTTTTGAGCTGCCGCGAAAAAGTGCGACGAAAGCAAGAAAAAGTGCAAGCAAAGAACGAAAAAGTGCAAATTTTGCACTTTGCACGTTATGACTTCTTTTTATTTGAACCATCTCATATATATACATATATATATATATATATATATATATATATATATATATATATATATATATATATATATATACTTACTCCGTTCTTAAATAAATGCAACGATCAACATTTCACACTTGCCGAGACACAACTTTGACCATTAATATAAATGATTTTGTATTAGTAAAAAAATTAGAAAAATTAGATTATGAAAATTTACAATGAGACAAATTTAACAATTTTTTTCATAAAATAATGTTATTACATTAATAAATAAAATGTAGTCAAAGTAGAACATGTGAATAGTGTAAAAGTCAGAGTGTTGCATTTATTTAAGAACGGATATAGTATATCATATTGATTAATACTTACGGGGTATAAGTTTACATATTTGAAAGCACTTCTTTTTTGTTTCATGGGTTCCATGTCTCCCAAGTTCTAGTAAACCCCATTTAGCATAATTTGTTTGAAATATTCCACCCAAAAAATATTAGGACAGTTGATTCAGTGTTGGTTTTTGACTTATCATATATTACCAGGATTTCTCTGAGCAGATTGTTGATACTACCTCCGTCCCTTAAAATTTTGTCAAAGTTGACCGGCACGGAGAATAATAAAGTAAAAACTGTGTGGTTGAGGTTTGTGCAGAGGAGAGAGAAAATAACAGAAACCACAAAATAATTGATTAAAAGGGAAAGTGACAAAGTTTTTTGGGACGTCCCAAAAATGAAAGATGGCAAAGTTTTAAGGGACGGAGGGAGTAGTTGTTATTACGAGCCTTGCACTTCATGCACTTTAGTTTAAAAATTGTACATTGCCGTTGCTGGCTTTTTGTTATAGCATTGATTTGAGTCCCATGTCAAAAATATATAATGTTAAAATTCAAGTAAAACTGGGATCAAGCTAAATAATAATTACAACCTTGCATAAGCTGATAAGCCTTGCAACCTTTCGAATGGGTATATATATTGAGCAAATGGGTTCCTAACCAATGGACAATTCATACTCATCAATCTTTATTTTAAAATTTTGTAGTACAAACATTAAATGTTTTGTGTGTTGGCTGTTTTTTTTTATCATGCTTCAACCATGTGGAGTGTGCAAGCTTCATCCATGCGGATTCTGAAATGACACAAAGAGATTTTTCAGTACAATGTAATTAATGTTGTTCTGTCATGAAGTCCATTTTTTTTATTTTAGTCGCTCACGTTTTTTTGAGCTTCATCCACGTTCCAAAGTTTAAACCGATACAATCTCCCAACAGATTTTTTCAAGCAAGTATACCTTTTTCTTGAGCCACACAAACCGACAACTTGAAGACTGGGCCCAATATTAATTGCTCGAGTTTTTTTCACTTTTAGTCCTCTGACTATTATGTCATTGACATTTCTGGTACTCGCGTTTGATTTTTTCCATTTTTAGTCCTTGACTATTGCGCTAGAGACACTTTTGGTACCCGTCTTTGAAAATTTCCATATTTAATCCTTCAACTTTTATAAAAGTGACACTTTTGGTCCTCCAACTATTATAATAGTGACATTTTTAGTCCTCCACTTATTGTGTTAAATCATAATGGGATGACTAAAAGTGTCAATTTGACAATACTCAGGGACTAAATGTGGGAAACCTTGAAGTCGGGGACTAAAAGTGTCTCTAGCACAATAGTCGAGGACTCAAAATGGAAAAATTAGAAGTCGAGTACCAAAAGTGTCATTGACATAATAGTCGAGGGACCAAAATGGCAAAAACTCTTAATTGCCCACTAATATCGACCCATTCATCAACCCGTTCAGAATGACCTGACCCACCAATGTAGCAATGTTTTGGGCGGGAAAATTTGTCTCCTTTCTCCTGCTTTTGTATAGAGAAAGATATATACTCCTTATATACAACAATAATGATTGATGTACTCACCCTTATACCCACTTTATACTCACCATGTTTGTGAAGCTTTTTTTTGTGAATCCGGTTCACATACAATTTTTTGTTTGTGCAAAATATTGTCTGTGAATCGATGTTCACAGACAAAAAAAAACTTCCACAAACATGGGTGAGTACAAAAGTAGGTATAAGAGTGGGTACAAACATCATTTTGGATATATAAAGATTGATGAGTATGAATTGTCCGAATGGGTATATATACTGGGCAAATGGGTTCTTAACCAATGGACAATTCATATTCATCAATCTTTATTTTAAAATTTTGTAGTACAAACATTAAAGTTTCCGTATAGCCAAAAAACATCATTATAAGTAAAGAATCCGATTCACATACAAAAATACAAAAAAATGTTCGTGAATGAATCTCGTAGACAAAAAAAATATTTCATAAACATAAGTGGGTATGAAAGTGAGTATAAGAATGAGTACAAACATCATTTTTGAAAAAAGCAATCACTAATAAGCAAATTCTTTACTAATTACCTTCCCATCTCCCAACCTAACTTTTAACGTTCCAGCATCTTAACTAACTAACATGCACTCCGTAAGACACCACAAGCATAGCACACTCTCACAATTCATAATTTTTTTAGGGAAATTTCCCAAAATAGGAGTAAAAAAGTTTTAAAATTCCAAAATAAGACTGTCATGTTTTTATTCCCAAAATAGGAGTAATTACTGCCAAGTTTGGAAAATACTGCCATGTTTAAAGTCTGGTACTGCCAAAACATGGCAGTAATTAGTCCTATTTTGGGAATAAAAACATGATAGTCCCATTTGGAATATACAAATGTTTTTAGTTCTATTTTGGGTAATTTCTCTCTTTTTTTTAATTTAATATTATTTAAATGCAATCCGTAACAATGCAAGTTGTGTTTTAAAATGTTTTTTTGCTTAATGTTTTTTTTTATTTTTAAATTGTGTGACAAATCTTCTGGTGACCAACACCCAAGTTATTACCGCTCCAGTGATACCGTCCAAGTTACCACTACCGCTGAAGTATCAGCGTCTCAGTTACTAACGCTCCAGTGACATCGTCTCAGTTATTACGATCCCAGTTACTTCCGCTCTCGTGACTACCGTCCCGGTTACTACGGCTCCAATGACTACTGTCTCAGTTAATACCGTTCTCGTGACCACCGTCACAGTTACTATTTCTTCTATGACCACCGTCCCATTTACTACCGCTCCAATGACTACCATCCCAGTTACTACTGCTTTAGTGACTCACGCCCAGTTACTACCACTCCCTTGACTAGCGTCCCAGTTTCTACCGCTCTCATGACTATCGTCCCAGTTACAACCGATGTCGTGACCATCGTCCCAGTGACTATTGTCACAGTTACTTCCGATTAATGACCAATAACCACAGTGAATTTCGTGTTATCGCCCGCCAGTGACCAAACCCTGACAAGTAGTCACCGCCGACCAGCGACCACTGTCGGCCCGTTGCCAGTGAGCAACAAATAGTGACTTTTTTCAGTTACACAAAAATCCTCTTCTAGTGGTGATATATACGCCTCACCCTAGCAGCAGCAGCCCCCACCAATGCCCACCACGACCCCATATGCCCTACTGCGGACACATCAATCCAACCCTGTCCCTACACCAAGTCCTTTCCATTCACCACTCCTCCGTACCCCACCCTAGCCTAATCAGCTCCACATTACAATTGTTCGAGACCTGCTCTCAAATCCAACAAAGCACGTTACCGGAGGGATGAAATTTCTCGTCAGATTTACGAAGCTCATCTCCGCCGTTGGAGTACGAAGTTTCTCGTTGGATCTACGATGCTTGCCGCCGCGACTGGGGCATGAAGTAGCCGTCGGATCCACGAAGTCCGTTGCCGATGCTGAAGGATTTGGTGCGGCTTGAAGAAGACGTTTGAAGAGAGAGGAAACAATGACGGAGTG